AAGTTAAAAATGAGTTTAAATTTCAACGATGACAACAAGAAATAGAGTGTACAGAGTATACAAAGTACATACCAAACCATGAGGGGTTGGGGGGAGAACATGGTAAGAAAAACCAATCCAAAAGGATAAAAGAAATGAGAGGCGGTGGGTGGGGAAGCATAAACAAAGGCATGGTAAGAGGAAGTAACAAATAGATGGTACAAATAAATTCAAATATATCAGCAATTTCATTAAATATAGATGGACTAAATGCTCCAAGGCTCCAAGATGAAAAGATACAGAAAGTGCAAGACTGGATTAAGAAAACAGTCCAACTTTGTGCTATTTATAAGAGATATACCTAAATAAAGATGTTGAGTGGCTGATACTACTATGCATAGTGTAACCCAGTGGTGGCAGACTTCCTGTAAAAGGGCAGATGGTAAATGTTTTCAGCTTTGCATACAGTCTCTGTCAGCAGTACTCAAACTCTGCCCCTTGTGACGTGACCACAGTCATCAACGATACTTAAGGAGAACAGGCATGGCTGTGTTTCAGTAAAACTGTATTTACAAAAACAGGCTGCAGGTAGTGGGTCATTGCTGACCACTGCTTTACCCAAAAGAAAGCTGAAGCAGCTACATTATTATCAAAATAGACTCTAAGGCCCCCCAAAACAGTTCTATATTTAAAGATACTCATTAGATAAAGCATTCTACTCACCAGGAAAATAATTCTGAATATACGGCCCTGAACTACATAAAGCAAAAATCCCAAGGATTACTGGGGGTAATTTGGAATGGGTGAAATTCTTTTAAATATAAATACTGAATAGGATTTCTCCCCTAATTATTTTTAGAGTGAGGACAACCAGCAGGGGAAAAAATTTATAAATAAGCAGCCATTATTTTAAAAATTAGCAATAACTAGATTATTTGTAATATAACAATGTGTAAAAATTAACCCACTTTTAATAATGTGTAAAAATTAACCCACTTTAAACATGGCAGTGATAAGAGTATCACTCCTGATTAAGTGGCCTTCATTTTCACACTAACACTGACATCTCAGAAGTGTCGACTTTGCTTTATGGAATCAAGACGTTTTCATATGTATTCTTTGGTCTAATCCTAACCAAAATCCTATGAGTGATATATCACATTAAAAAATGAAGGATAAAAACATATGATCAGGGCTCCCCTGGTGGCGCAATGGTTGGGGGTCTGCCTGGCGATGCGGAGGAATAAAGACGCAGATGTAGAGAATGGATTTGAGGACATGGGGAGGGGGAAGCGTAAGCTTGGACAAAGTGAGAGAGTGGCATGGACATATATACACACCAAATGTAAAATGGATAGCTAGTGGGAAGCAGCCGCATAGCACAGGGAGATCAGCTGGGTGCTTTGTGACCGCCTAGAGGGGTGGGATAGGGAGGGTGGGAGGGAGACGCAAGAGGCAGGGGATATGGGGATATATGTATAGCTGATTCACTTTGTTACACAGCAGAAACTAACACACCATTGTAAAGCAATTATACTCCAATAGAGATGTTAAAAAAAAAAAAATTCAACATCCATTTATGATAAAAACTCTCAACAAACCCAGTATAGAGATAGGGTACCCGAACATAATAAAGGCCATATATGACAAGCCCACAGCTAATGTCATACTCAGTGGTGAAAAGCTGAAAGCTTTTCCTCTGAAATAAAGAATGAGAGACAAGGATGCCCACTCTAGCCACTTCTAGTCAACCTAGTACTGGAAGTTCTAGCCAGAGCAGTTAGGCAAGAAAAAGAAATAAAAGGCATCCAAATCAGAAAGGAAGAAGTATAACTCTAACTGGGGTCTGCACATCCTGGGTGGTCTAATTATTACTGCCTGTTTAATTGTAATCAATAAAACTATTTGAAAAAAAATGTTTTAAGAGTTGTAAAACCCTCACTATTTGCAGATTATCTGATTTTATATATAGAAAACCCTAAAGATGCCATCAAAAAAAACTGTTTGAACTAATAAACTCAGTGAGGTTGCAGGATACAAATTCATTTTACAAAAAATTAAGAAAATAATTCCATTTACAGTTGCATCAAAAAGAATAAGAAACATAGGAATAAAATTAACCACAGAGGTAAAAGACTTGTATGCTGACAACTAAGACGTTTCAGTGAAAGAAACTGAAGGAAATAAAAAATAAATGGACATTCTGTGCTTATGTATTGGAAGAATTAACATTGTTAAAATGTCCATACTGTTCAAAGCAATCAACAGATTCAATGCAATCCCTATCAAAATTCCTATGGCATTTGTCACAGAAACAGAACAGTCCTAAAATTTGTATGGAAGCATAAAAGACCCAGAATAGCCAAAGCAATCTTGAGAAAGAAGAATAAAGCTGAACACACGCCCTGGTTTCAAACTATATTATAAAGCTGTAGTCACTAAACCATATGGTACTGGCATAAAACCATTCACATAGATCAATGGAACATAATTGAGAGCCAAGAAATACAGCTGTGCGTATACTGACAAAGGAGCCAACAAGTATACAATGGGGAAACGACAGTCTCTTCAGTAAAGATGTTGGGAAAACTGGACAGCTACATGCAAAGGAACGAAACTGGACCACTATCTTACACCATACACAAAAAATAACTCAAAATACATCCGACTTGAACATAAGTCCTGAAATCATAAAAGTCCTAGAAGAAAACGTAGGCCGTAAGCTCCTTGATGTCCGTCTCGGGGTTGATTTTTTGGATTGGACACCATAAGCCAAGGCAACAAAAGCAAAATAAACAAATGAGACTGTATCAAACTAAAGAGCTGCTTCTACACAGAAAAGGGAACCATCAACAGAATGAAGAGGCCGCCTACCAAATGAGAGGAAATATTTGCAAATCGTGTATCTGATTAGGGGTTAATATCCACAACATATAAAGAACTCATACAACTCAGTAGCAAGAAAACAAATACCCTGGTTTTTAAAATGGGCAAAGGACCTGAACAGACATCTCACAAAGACATACAAACAGTCAACAAGTACATAAGAAGGTGCTTAACGTCATTAGTCATCAGGGAAATGCATGCAAATCAAAACCACACGTTACATCTATTAGAATGACTATTATCAAAAAGCCCAAAGATAACAAGTGTTGGCGAGGGTGTGGAGAAAAAGGGGGCCTTTGTGCACTCTTCAGGTATTGTAAATTGGTGCAGCCACTATAGAAAACAGTGTGGAGGTTTTTCAGCAAATTAAAAATAAAACTACTGTATGATCCAGCAATTCCACTTTGGGATATTTAACCATAGGAAACAAAATAAGATACGGAAAAGAGAAGTGCACCCCCACGGTCACTGCAGAATAATTTATGATAGCCAAGATATGGAAACAGCCTAAGTGTCTGCTGATGGATGACTGCATAAAGAAAATGTGGTATATATATTCGCTGGAATATTACTCAGCCATAAGAAAGAATGAAATCTCATCATTTGCAACAACATGGATGGACCTTGAGGGCATTATGCTAAGTGAAATAAGTCAGAGAAGACAAATACCATATAATCTTACTTGTATGTGGAATCTAAAAACAAAAGCTCATGGACAC